ACTTCTTTTGCTTATGCTCAGATTCTAGAACTGGCCTCTTTTGGAAGACCATTATCTTATGAAAGTTACTACTATGTCTTATAGGACTTGAATAAGGCCACCATTACAAACACAGAGCTAAAAATGTTCTTCATGGGAGTTTTCTTGTCACTCTAGTCTAGAAAACTGTTATCAAAACAATTTAGTCATGTATACCACCTGGAAACTTAAAGACATCTGTGATAGGCTTGAATTATCTAGAAAACAAAGATAGGGTGGTCTAACGTCCTTAAGAAATGTCAGAGGTTGTCGTTTACCCCAAAATAAATGTCAGAGAAAAGAAATTAACAGCATCAACAAATAAACACACTGACACATTTTTTCTCTTAATTATCAGCAGTCAATACATAATGTACAAGGTACCAACTGTAATTGTGATCAGAGTGTGTAGCGATATATATTGCTAGTCCTCTGGCACCATACTCGAAGTGTTTCTGATGCTGAGGCACTTTCAGTTGAATAGTTATGGGGAATATACTTTGTAGCAGTAATTATCTCCTGAACTGCAATGCGCTTTTGTTCTCTATACTGCAAGTCTTCAATCACTTTCCTCACTTCACACATAGTTGTCAAGAGCCACCCAACTGCAAAAAAATAATTCCAAACAAACTGTTAAAGATGGGCAATGTTGAAAAATAATTAGATCTCTAAAGCAATTTTAAAAACTTAGACCTCTAATACACTTTTACAACATGATATTTTAAAATTGCTATAGAAACTTGAATCTGTGACTCTGTGTATTTATATTTGGTATCCTCTTAAGTATTTTTTATAAAAATAAGCAAAATACATTTATCAGTTAAACTGGGATATAGGCTTCTAGTCTGAAGTCTTTATTTGTAACATAAATTTTAAATAGTGATTATAATTTATAAATCATATTTCAAACTACTAATCAGTGCCCAGAAAAACACATTTTAATTATTTTGATCATATGCGATATATTGCTAACATCGGGACATATAAGAGGATGCCAATATTTAAGTGATGATAGCTCAGTACTTCAGCATACAATTATCTCACAGCTTTTTAAAACATTAATTTTATTTATTTTTATTTTATGTGTGTGAATATTTGTCATGTAAATGTACTACATGCGTGCAGTGCACACAGAGATGAGATGAGGGCATCAGATTCCCTGGAACTGGAGTTACAGATAGTTATTAGTCATCACATAGGTGCTGGAAACTGAACCCATTTCCTCTCAAAGAATAGCTAGTACTCTTAACCACTGAGCCATCTCTTTAAGCCCATCTCATACCGTTTTCTAAAAAGATTATACTTATGTTAAGTTTTTTGACTGCTCTATATTTACTCTCCTTAAAAGTAAATTCATGTTAAACCTCTCAACAGCAACTCAATTCCAAAATCAACACATTTACTTTGGTATCGTTTTTCATTTAAAATTAACACTCAATTTTGTTATACACTATATATTATCGTGCAAGAAAAGCATAATATAGTTGTCAGCAACTGGATATCGAATTGTACAGTGCCTCATTTTTACATCTTCCGTCTTTCTACACAATGTCATACAAGGTCTACTAAAATCAAAATATTAACCTTTAAGAGGCACACGCATTTTAGGTCTACTTTTGAACAAAGTTTGTCACTAAGTTTTGCTACACATGGGGGGGTCACCCCGAAAGAAAATATACATTACTAATCAAAATAGCATATCCTAAATTTGTAGCATATAACAGAGGAACCACCAATTATAACAATACCTTTAACAGAACGACTATAGTTGAAAAATGTCTCTGGCACCGGTGGGTAGGAGTAATATCCACCAATAACAGTATCATTTACTTCTTCCGATTCACTTCTTGTTTTAAACCACTGAAAAAATTTTTTAACCTTCTGTTCATATGTATACGGTTGGCTTTTTTGACCTCCTTGCAAGAAGGGTGAAATGCAAATAAACAAAACAAACAAAAACAGAATGACAACAAAAACAACAAAAGAGAAATAAAAAGGTCACTGTAGTAAATTGTATGGCTATTTCATGTAAATGTTTAACATTAAAACAGTAATATCATAAAAAAAAGTCAATTTTACTTATTTACTACTTTGCAGCATGTAATTATCCAAAGAGAGTAAAAACAGCCAAAGAAAATCACAAATATCAGAACTTGAATGTACTTAAAACTGTAACTGTCTATAGGATATTAAAAATCACACAGGGGAAGAAAACAACGAGCTCTATTCTTCCAACTCATCAAAATGGTTGGCATCCTCTGAGAAGCTGATTTTTAGGTCACTTATTTATTTGGAAGTATGGTGTCCTGTAAGAACTAAACTGTTCGGGATTTAAAATCATGTTCTTAAGACAGTCTTAAAAATGGCAAATTTACAAGAGATGTTGTTAATATTTACAAATATGGTACTAGCAAATATATATGTTATTCATTTTCTAAAGTTCTTTAGATAAATATCTTAATTTCCAGCAAGGCAGCACTCTGGTAAATGCCTCATTCCGTGTTCTCCCTTTACTCTTTCAGTTGGAAATTTTTACGTTATTGGTTTTTAGGGTAACACAGAAAAGTAATGCGCAGTTGTGCCTCAGTAGTTGTGCCTCAGTAGTTGTCGAGAATTGATTCCAATCATGACCCTGGCAGATGCAAAAATCTGTAGATGTTCAAGTCCTTTACATAATGTAGCACAGTATGTGGAAGTAACCAATGCATATCTTCCTGTATAATTTTTAATAATCTCTGGGTTATTTATAATACTTAAAATAATGCATATATATGTAAATGTTATATTGCTCAAGGAACAAAGGAAAAACATTTGTACATATTTAGCACATAAACAAAATTTTCAAATATTTGTGATCCGATGTTAACTGAATTTATGGATATGGAACGCCACAAATATGGATGGCCTAATTTACCTGTAGACTAACTGTGAGACTTATTTATATAAATTCAATGTGAAATCTTGGGGCCAAAATTTGACACTCATTTTTATTTCATACAATGTTAAAACGATATTAACTGATCACTTCTAAGCTTTTTGGATGGGTTCAAGTGTAAAAATCATGTTGAATCTGCAACCAATCCTAAGAGTCTTCCATGTAGCAAGCAATACCTATTCTTTACATCAAGTAGAAATTAAAGTTAACCAAGTGACATGAATGCAATTTTTCAATGGGCCATAAAATCATTTCCTTGATCAAACGTAAACTAAAGATGATCTATTTCATGGGCCAAATATTCTTTGTTAAAATATTTTCTATCAATAATGAGGTCAAAATTAAGCTATCCTGAAATGTTATAAGGTGAAAGCTAATATGTAGTAATGGGTACTAGTAAAAAGACAATATATTACATTTTCAATACAGAATACATAATTTACTCACCAATAATAAACATTCGGCTCTCGTTTGTAGTGGTGAGGTAAAGCAGTCTAGGTACCTGAATGTTTCTTCTAACAACTTTCAACTGGGTACATACAAAATATGCCACTGTAGAAAGTAAAAATACTTGTGAAATTACTTTTGCATTTCAAAGAGGAGGATCTGACATAATGCTTGTCAAACAAAGGACTGCAGGAATCAGAAAGAACTGTTAAGATACAAATTTAGATTTACTAGGTGTAGAGCTGGCATGGGATTCTGCATTTTTGTAAGATACTGGGTATTCTCTTGCTGTCTGTCCTTTGACCAAAATTATATCAAAAGGTATCTGAAACTAGCTAGCTAGTCTATTCTTTTTCTGTTTTTGTTTTTGTTTTTTTTTTAAGCCAGATGTCTTTCTTTTGGAAAGTACAGGGACTTTGAGTAAGTGAAGAGTTTCTTTATTGTGTTGATGCTGAGCACAGGGTTATTACAGCTGGGAAGCACAAGTGAATTTTCTCTTTTTTATTATTAGTGTTATGAAACAGGCCGTATTACAAAAAACAGCCTAAAGATTTAACATAATCCCCACAAAGATTTTAATGCCATTTTTCATAGAGGTAGAAAAAAATCCCTGAATTAGCATGTAAGCACCAGAGATCTTAGACAGTCAAGGCAATCTGGAGCAAAAAGAATGATGCTGAAGGAATCACATCTGATTTTCAATTATACTACAGAGCCATAGAAGCAAAAGCATCAAAACACTAGCATAAAATAGACACAGATCAGTAGAATAGAGAAATAAAACTACACAGCTACATCCAACTGATCATCAACATAGGTGCCAAAATGTACAAGGTCTATGATTTCCCTCTTAGAAATATTAGAACATTTAAAAATGTTTTATTTATTATTTTTATTTTATGTGTACAAATATATTGCCTGCATGTATATAAGTTAGGCCCATGTTGTGCAATGTAGTGGAGGTCAGAAGAAAGCATTGGATTTCCCTGGAACTGGAGTTAAGGACGGTTCTTAGCTGCCATGTGGGTACTGGGAATCGAACCTGGGTCCTCAGCCAGAGCAGTCAGTGCTCTTAACCACTGAGTCATCTCTCCAACCCCCAGAATTATTAGAACTTTTTAAGTTCTAATATTCTTTATAAAAAGAATTGACTGTCCACGTTTATCTTTATTGAATCTTAAGCTGTTTTATGTGTGCAATTCTAACCATGAGAACTGATAAGAAGATCTGTTTTCTGAAAATCTGGTTTAAATTCCAGGATAACTCTTGAACAGACAGGATGGTGATTAATATCTACAATATTAAATATGTTAATATGGAAAAGATTTCAACATGTTTTTAGGTGACTAATGGTTTTCAGACTGCTAACTCAATGTGATGTCACTGTTCTGAGTTAGATCATTCTATTATTTTTAAGTTCACATTGTTATTTCCCAAAAATAAAAAGATAAAAATATTGAGTACTTGGGTAAATATTTTCAAAGACTTCTGGCTGAGATGTAGAAAACAGTTCCACTATAAACGGTTGCTCTGAAGTCCCATCAGCGATGTGAATCCAACTATATGACCAATAATCTTCACTGTTTTCTATGTGCATAGAATATTTAAATAAGTAAAGATAGCTTGTTAGATGCATATAAGCACAAAACGATTATTCACTGAAATATACTTTTATCAGTTTCAAATTTAAAACCTTACCTTTCTTTTTTGATCTTTGGACCCTCCCTACAAAGGATAACACACCAATCACATCACAGATAGCATTTTCTGGCATATCTTCCAATTCTGATCTAAAAAAGTAAAATAGATTTCATATCATTAAACAGTAACAAAGCATTTTTCAATAATAATGAAAATGTATATATGTATAACTGGTACACCTTAATTTAGGGTAGATTTGGAGCAAGTTAACCCATTGCTTTCTAGTTACTAACAATTGAAGATTAATATTTAAGAAATTTTACAAGGGACTAGTTTACCTTGTGGTAAATCGGTGTCTGAGTTTTGGCAATTTCCATTCTAGTTTCAACTAATTTTCTGGAATGATAATTATATTCGTTGGAGGATCTCGAAGATTCAGGCAGATTTCTGTAAAACAAACATAATATTTTAATATATTACTTGAAATACTAAGGAATATATAGTGAGTAAATTACAGAGAAAAACAACAGACTGAACACTTTTGTACCTATCACTAAACCCAAGATAAAGGTCATTATCGGTGACCTGCTACCTCTTTATAGTATTGACTTTTCTCCCTGCCAAAGTGCAACCATATCTTGAATTTTGTGTTTCAGCATTTCCTTAATGTGAAACATATTTTACCCCATATGTGTTTTTGCCAAAACAAAATTCTCCCTTTTTTGTGTGATTACTATTATTATTATTATTATTATTATTATTATTATTATTTAGGTCTTTTTGAGACAGGGTCTCCCTGTAGCCCCAGCTGGCCTGGAACTCACTGTGTAGACCAGACATGCCTTGAACTCACAGAGAACCACCGGCCTCTGCCTCCCAAGTATGATTTTTATATGTTTATTTGTTTTGTTATTGCTGTTGAGACAGTCTCCTAGTAGCTCCAGCTGGCCTGATCTTGCTATGTAGACTACATGGGACTCAATCTCACAGAGATCTGCCTGCCTCTGCCTCTGAGGAGTGCTGGGATTAAAGGCAGCATGGGTTACCAGGGCAGGCTATACAAAATACTGTCTTGTTTTATTTTTGAACTTCATACATATGGTTTTCTAGAATTATCTTTTCCAGCACAGAATATTACTAAAATTTATTCCATGTTAGCTTTGTATGTTTTTCATTTTAACTGAATAATATCCTAGTATGATTAAATAGTAAAATTTAAGCATCTATTATTGTGTTGATGGCTATCTGGGTTATCTCCATGTTTAAAAATATAAAAATATAAAATATAGTCTTTCTATGCACACAAGCAAGAGTTTTCCTAATCTAT